CCCTCTTCCCCCGTCTCGAACCGCTTTTCACAGGATATCATTCACGCCTGTCCCGCTGACAGCGAAAGAAGAGGGCATTCGTAGGACTTGCAAGAAATTTACGCGAAGCGAACGTAACGAGAGCTGCGTTTTGTTTCACCGGCGGATATTATCGCGAAAATCTCGGCTTTTACTCGTCGCGATTGTCTTCACGGTTCCCTGGAAAATCGGCTTTCAACCCCCCATAAGTTCCGTGAATAATCGCGAACGATTGTTCGATTTCTCGAATAATTAAATCGTTCGGCAATTGAATTAATGGGCCGAGGGCGCGTCTCATTGTGTTCCACCATCGGTATGTTAAATTGAAAAATTCAACCCTCGTATGTACTTGAAAATTCTTAGTGTTGTTTTCACCCGGTTCCGGTGTGTAAACGGTAGAAAATTCGTCCAGCATTGAAACGTGTTAAGGATTCATAACGTGGAAAAAGGGGTTTGCGGCGAGGCTGAGGGAAATTCACGGGACATCGAGGGAAAGGAGACTCTCTATGGGAGGCTGGACCTCCGCGAGAATAGCGCGATGGATATTTAATGACGGCATTCTTCGTTCGTTGAATTAGTGATCGTGTTTGAGCGCGGGGATCGGCCTCGCTTTCGCTGGGAAAGTTCGAAAATATTGGGTTGGAAATCGTGTAAATCGTCGGCTTGGTAAATATACGGACTTTCATTTGGAGAGAGCCTCGAGGACGATCGCGGTCGGAGATAGTAGATTTTTAATGATCTGCGACCGAGGCTTCGCCCGAAAGGGTTGGAATATCTTCTAAAATAATCTTCTCTGACATATCACGTGTTTCTGATTTATCGAATCAAACGGCAAGCTTTTTCATTATTTCCGTAGAATCCTGGGGACCGTAATAGCCATTGGAAAAGAATTGATCAAAGAGGACGCGAATGACAAACAGAAAAGTATATTCTCATTTGCTGGAATATTCCAATATTCCTTCACTTTCAGGTCGTACCGACTAACCGTTACAGGCATATGAACTGTATGAAAAAAAAAAGAGAAAAAGAGAGACAAACAAACGAAGCCTCAATCGTCCTAGTTTCGCTAAACCGTAGCCTCGATATTCAACTAATTCCGCGGCTCCCCGGTATCGCTGCAATATTCCGGCTTAATTGCAGCGTCTCTTGCAATTCGAAAAGCATTGTTTGTCGTCGATCGAGCCCCGATTCGATCGAGCCGCGGCTGTTTGCCGGCTAGATTTTTAATTACGCCGACGACAGTGGTTTCACGGACAGCCGGAACGAACAAAATTCATCCGCTGTTCTCCACGGACGACTATTCGATCCGTTAATCGTTCGTAGAATCTTTTTTTCTTTCCGTGCTATTAATTTAAATGCATACGTGACATAAATATTGCAAAAGGTTAGAAGTGAAAGGAAGAATTTTTCTAATTTACATTACCAGGTATAAATAAATCATATCGGACGTAATAAATACTCTGCAATATTGCGAAACGTATATATTCAGTGACACATAAAATATAAAAAATATTTTCATATTTTCTGTTCATAAATCACTGTCACAGAAAATTGTATATTTAAAAAAAAAATATTTATATTAAATCATCATACAAAAAATATTTACAATAATTATACATTTTACCATAAATTTACAATGTACAAGATCCTGAAATGGTGTCAGGAATATATCATCGGATCCTCCTGTACTTGTCCCGCTCTAAATAACGTGCCACCGGAAGCAATAAAAGGAAAGGCTTCGCGGGTGCGTCGCGAATCGTCGGTGTATCGTCGATGGTCCCTGGGTCCGTCTGCTCGATTATCGTTTCAAATGAAGAACCGAATGAAGCAGGCTCGGTAAGTGCGACCGCGTGGGCGGTTGTATAAATACCACCTTGGCCCTCTCGCTCGTAAGTCGGTTCCCGGTCTGCGTGTCTGAGGAAGGCACGCGTATAAAGGCGGGTAAAAAGAGGACCCGCGACTGATGGTCGAGGGAGAAAGCAAGATGAAAAATAAACGCGAAAGAAAGTAAGAAGAAGAGGGTCTCGAAGGAAGAGACACACGTGGAACGAAACCGGTGGATGTCGAGACACCCTGGCCACAGAGACGAATTAATGGCTGGCCTTCTCTCAAACGGGAGGACAATTATCCGGGGAATTTTATTTAGCTGCCAAGGCTTCTTCCCGCCGTCAAAATATTTCCAGTTTCCTCGATGATCGACCGCCCACCCTACTCGTCTTCTCTCTTTTTTTTCTCAACTCCTTCCCTCAATGGCTTCCAGCCAAGTCTCTCTTATTCCGTTTCTCCTTCCTTTTTGCCTCGCGGTTTCTTCTCGGATTATACTCGGCCCTGGGAAATGTATCGCACGGCTGACAACTACATTTTTCGACACGCGCTTCTTTCGCGGCGAATAATGGGACTGGAGGGATCGAGACGTCTCCTCGAGACCGCGATGGGATTGCGGATGAAACGATGATGGGAGATTTATTTCGGATTAAAAAAGAGATACAGTTCGAACGGGGGTGTTGAGCGAACGTTGATTGAGATTGCGTTTGAAATTTAGCTTGATATCTTAAGCTCCGCTTTCCGATAACCTTCTTTTCCTCAGCAGTAATATCATTTATTTATTTAATCGAAATCCTTCAGGCTTGTACGGTTGAAATAAAAATCTGTCGATTCAATTTCAGAAATTTTGAATGAAATAAGAATGCGACCGTCCGTGAAAGAAAGCAAACATCAATCCCCGCGTCGAGTTGGTAGTCGGATGCAAATGAGCGAGCGTCGTCGACGAGACGATCGCGTATCACAATGGATTTAATTTCGCTGGTGTCCGGTGGCATCGTCTCGTAATTGCGTTTACCGATGTAAAGCTGCTGCCATCGACGAGGATCCGAGGCGACGTTCGAAGAAAAGCGTAAACGCGTGGGTGATGGGCATAGCGCGGTGGGCGTACGTTCCGGTGGGCGTCGCGTTGTTAGCCGCGTAGCCGAGTTAATGACGAGGAAACGTACCGTGTCGCCGCGAAAGTCGAAAGGTAAGAAGCCGATATTACGTATAGAGAGTTGACAAGCCGCGGATCCACGAAACACATCGTGGACGTTAAGAAGAGCGCGGTTGCATGCTTGAATAATAGCTCGGCAATGATGGCCACGTCCTGCGGAATTTCTATTGTCGCGAACGCGTGTCCGGCAGGCTTAATGATTTAATGCTCATTGTTGCTCCTCCTTGTGATTATGCCTGGCCATTGTATCACGAGCTGCTAGAGGAAAGTGTAGCAGGGAATGGGCTCGGAGATCCTGGAATTTGGTAGTTAATTATGTTTCTCATACGGAGAACTACCCAAGTGTTACACTCACTTATTAATAAAAATTTGCCAGCTTGTAGAGCTCGTCGAGGTGAACACGCCTTTACCCCCTTTTGGGGGCAGACGGCTAATTGTTTAAAAGATATTAACAATTACAGTTAGTTACTCCTTACATTCTGAAGTATGACAAATTCACACATACAACTCGCAATTTAGAGATTCACGGTTCAAATCCTTGGTTCCCAACATTTTTTTTTGTTTTTAATGATAATTCGTCTCTTTTTAAATAATTATTACATCAAAATTATCATAAAAAAAGAAAAAAAAAATTTTTGGGAACCGAGGATTTGAACCGAGGACCTTCAGATTGCGAGTCATGTGTTTAACCACGGAGCGGATCCATGACTAGCAATCTGAAGGTCCTCGGTTCAAATCCTCAGTTCCCAAAAATTTTTTTTTTTTTTTTATGATAATTTTTATGTAATAGTATTCAGAAAGAGACGAATTATCATTAAAAAAAAAAAAAAATGTTGGAAACCAAGGATTTGCACACAAGTATTGACATACTTCAGAATGTAAGGAGTAACTAAGTGTAATTGTTAATATCTTTTAAACAATTGTAGTTCCCCTTGTCAGTAAAATTGATGATTTATTTAAGGAACTATAATTTGCTACTGATAATTTACATTTTTAAATCCTCAGCCTAAAAGGGGTATATTTTTCAAAATTCTATTGTACAGCTTTCAATTTATGTTACTAGCATTTAAAATTTTTGTTAATTAAAGAAACCACCCCTGGAATATATTCTATTATCGCAATCAAGTATTCATAAAATCCCCTCTTCGACGCCTTCTGCCAGGAGGTCTGTCCAGACCCCGAAGAGATCGAAAACGAAATTATACGAGTCGCGAAGGGTCTCTATTCTTCGCGTGCATCAACAGAATCTTCCTCATTGTCTGATCGCATCGGAATATCCTGACAATAGGTCCGCAGAGTCGCGTCGACGTTATCAACCCCCCGCGTGAACGTCGCCACCCTTACAACCGGATTCTCCGGCGTTTGATCAACTCTCTCGATACAGACCGATCGCTCGTAAGCACGTCCGTTATTGTCCCGCGTACGTCAGTCAGATGGTATTCGATTATCGAATCCCCCCGGGAGAGCTTGCCAGCTGCAGAACGGTTCCGTCTTACTTATTCATCGCGCATTTACTTAGGAGGCCAGGATCGAACTGCTCCTTCGAGATACCCCTGGCTTTTACGATTTCAAGTACTTACGACTCGCTTAAACGGACAGGCCCGTTTCCCCCCTTTCGAGCCTGTCTTTCGTACAGCGCGTTGGATGATTCTTGAGAGATTAAATGGGTCAGAAAGGTCGGACTGCTCGTCGCGAGCCAGCCTGCGTTTTACGATTGTCGTTCGGCCAGGCTGTTTTTAATTGGCCATGATGGGTTTTGGATGCTGGCCAGAAATTGATAAATTAATCGCAGGACTACGGGTCAGTTATATAGACTTTCTTAGAATTGTAATCTTTGAGTTATTAAGATCGTTAATTTTGAAATTATTTCTTAAATTTATTATTTCCTCTATTTATATTTTATTGCCTAAGTAGGAAACATTTATTTCAATATATTTCACTTAGGATATAATCGAATGAATATAAGTCACGTATTCACCCTTAAGATTTACTGAAACTACCCCCCGAATTGTAGCAAGCACTTTGAAACGATGAAAAGGCAAGCTCCACCCACCCTTGGCCAATTTTTCAAATAGAGAAGTTAGTAGAATTACTGGAACCGGTCCGAAATGGACGAGAAGGCGGGTAAACTCCAACCTATCAAGATATGTCCGCGCGTGAAAGCGTGCACGAACGACGGGATACATCTTTCATGGATATTTTTCGATAAAGTTATCAATTATTGAGCGGGACGTACGTGAGCAGAAGGTGGATCAGGCTGGCTTCTTCCGCTCGAAAATTTCCCGTTCCAGGGAAGTTCGTTGAATTTCCTTGGCCCATCGCGTGCCTGTCGACGTTGAAGAATTACAATCCAGCCAGGGATGAGAGGAAGTTTACGCTAACAGTTTGCGAAAGAGTTTTTAAGTTGTCGCGAACCACCCACCGTTTACCCCTTCCGTTATTGTTATACCCCCGTTGTTAGCTCGATACGCTGTTATTAATTTTATCCTTCAGCTTGAAAAGCTTTGCTTCTATTTTTAATATTTACAGTGTTATGAAAGTATCGTTAAAAAAATATCAAAGGTTTCATGAATTGAATTATGAATATGGGACTTTTTCCTTAGATTTTCATTTTCCTCGCGAGTGTACATCCCATTTATCTTAGCAATCTAAATTACTAGTCAGTTATTAGTCGTTAAATTAAACTAACTAACAACACATCGAATTTGCATTTACACGATATTCCAATCGCTTTAAATGAGACGTAACAATAAATTATTTGCTCAAGCGTAAGCAAGCTCCCGATCACGATCGATACGAAATTATTAATTTCCGATCTAGCCGCACGTTCGTTTCTATATTTCATAATAAATACGTGTGTCAAGAGGCAGAATAAATGATACGAACGGTGCAGGAGAATTTGCATTTAAACAACATTTATATCGTGCGAAACACTTGGTCTCGGGTTATAAAACTGTGAGGAAATTTCAATCGAATGAAATTGATATCGAATTAACCCCTCTGCTAACGTGTAATAACGATATTCAATTTACCACTTGGTATTATTAAAAATAACTAAAGGGAAAGTGTAAATTATCAGTAAACAGTAGTTTGCATTTAAACGACATTGTAAATTGTTGAAACGAGTTTCGTTTTCCAAGCCGGTTTCGATGGATTCTTAAAAAATCGCTCGCGAATACCAAATAGAGGGTCCACTTTTCACCCAGTTGGCGAATAATAAAAAATCAACGGTTGATCGATCGTTCATACGAGATTTCCCAGAGTCTGGCACGCGTATTTTTCCAGCTTCGACACCGAAATAAATTATAGACTCCGTGACACGTTCGTGCACACACACGGGCATCGTGTACGTTCGCTCATAAACGACACCGTAAAATGTTCTGCAACGTTTGTCGTCACCGCTAATGAAGGTGCACGCGTGCGGACAAGTCGCCACCGAAGGATAATTAATGGACACTGCAATTATACGGTGGACCGGTTATCGAGTTTTCTTCCTGATGCGATAAAGCATCGATCAGGTAAGGAAAATCGATCCAACACACGCACGGTGTTTCGTTATTATTCAACTCGGATGGTTATAAAATTATAGAGCTTAGGATAGAACTATAATTCGTTCGAAATAATCATTGGCATTTAGTTTATTATTAATTAAAGCGTAACGAAAAATCGAGGCCAAGAATTTTTTAATAAATCAATATAAATGAACCACGAGAAAATATATAACGTTGAATATTTACTTCGAAACGATTCCATTAAATTCTGCCGTTTGCTGATCCTCGATAACAGATTGCGAATTAAAGAAAGATAATAAAAAACAGAAATATACGGGATGAAACGTTAATTGTATTTATCTGGAAATCGATGCATACGCAATACGGGACACCGGGATGATGCAGCGGGGGTTGGAAGTGGCGAAGGTAGTCGAGGGTGGTCTGGAAAATCGTGGTTACGCGTATCGAAGGTAATACGGAATTGATAAGCGCGTCGATTTACGTTAAGTACACTTTTGATGCGTCGATAAAATATTTAAACGGGCTCTCCCTGATAAATGTCGAACGTTGATTGGATTTTGATTACACTTGTGCGAGCAATTCCGCGTGCCCGTGCAAATAACGCGTCGCGAGAGCCGCACTTTTTGCGCTCGCTTTTGCACGGACAAGCGGAAAATAATACGCGTAACGGAACGAGAGGAAATGGCGATGGGCTGCTGGAATTTGGCTGCAGGGTTGGGTAAAAAATAAAAAAGAAAAATTAGCAGATTTATTTCATTCCACCCCTTTTTGATGGGAGTTTAAGCAGAGGACTTAACTTGTAGTGAATTGAATCAGCTTACGCTCTTAATCCTAGGCTTCTCTTGAAATTCATCTTAATTAAACGTAATTTGGCTTTAGTTTTCGGGTTAACTTCAATTCACTTGGCTTTTCGAAGTGGATCTTAGAAAAGATATACATATTTTGATTAAGTTTAACATTAGCCTGTGTTAATTTGAAGAATTTTATTCGAAGAATTGGTTTTAAATATAAAACACAAATTTCAAATTTTATATTAATATTTATTTATTAAATTTAGGATGTTAGAATTGTTCTAACTTCACTGAATAAAATTCAATAGGAAAGGAAAGGAAAATCTGATTGATAATCTCCATAGTAATCACCTTGTAAATTTAATTTATAAGGATTAAAGTATAATTAATCCGAACTTAATTCGTAATTGAGCCAGAGTTAGGTTACATTGATTTCAAGCTAACATGTAGATTTCAGCTAGGCCAAAGCTAGTCATAGCCGGACCTCAAACTCGATCTAACTTAGAGCTCACAACTTGAAATTAGTCTAAACTCTCGAGTTAATTTGTGCTAATTTGAACCTGTCGCGGACTTGATCAAATGTAAACCCGGATTAGAGGCAATTCTGCGTTTAATCCCTTGAATTTAGCGTAGATCCAACTCAAAATTGAACTGCACCGTATCGAATCTTAATCGGAATCGAATCTAACATTAACCAACTGATAATCAAACTTCGCCGATAGAAAAAAATTGTTAAATTATACAATATTATTTGTATCTTTATTTGCGATTCGATTAAACTCTAACCCTCGGTATGAACGAAGGATCGATGATCAGTTTACCTAGTAGTATTAGTCGAGCATACAGCCGGTAAATACGAACGAATTTCGATATCAATTCGATCGTGGCTGCCGTTCGATTGCGCGTTCGTTGATTAAACGAAACATTGATTACTCTTATTTGACAGCCGGCAAATATATTGCACCGGAAGCGGAGAGGTCAATATTTGGTAAAACGATGAAAATAACATTGGGTCATAAGCGATTATAAGCGGGCGAGGAATATTGAACGACGCATGGTAACGACAAGGCGGAATTATTGGCAGATCGATCAATTAACGAAAGCACAAATTAATTACCATTCCAGACAACTTCGATACTTTCGTTCCTGTTTTAATGAAAGTTGCATCGATAATGAATCCGCGGACTTCTACGATGCGGAATAATTTAATGTCGTTTTTCACTTTCTATCGACACCTTTCGACATACATCTATCGTATTGAAATTAATTTTCTCTTTTATTGTATTTGCAATATAAATCGCGACAAGGCACGGAACGAAGGATGCTCGTAACGAGGCTATTGGCGCGCGACAACGCGCGAGATTTCGGCATTAATTTGCCACTATAAAGCGAACGCGTCGATGGCGGATACGTAGGCGCGAACAAACTGGCACCGCGGGCTTGTTTACAAACGAGCTTGTAAATTGCTTTAACGAACCACTCGGCCGAGCGAGAAATGGCCTGCTGATATCCGCGGATAAACAAACCGTTCGCCAGTTTTCGGTGTGTTGCTCGAAAACATTAGAACCTTCTCATCGATTTTCACGCGCCGCATGTTAATTGCCTGGCAGCTTTGCAACGGGACTCGATGTAATGGAAAGAGATTGCACGAAATCGTTGATTCCTTTCCCATTCGATAGTTTCGAAGCTTTTCTATCTCGGCAAATAACGGACACCCGATTCGATCGAATCGAACGAAAATGAATAAATAATTCGGACTCGTATGGAACTCGTTTGTCACTGCGTTTCTGGAACTTCGTTATCGCTGTTCTTTTGTCGCGGACCGCCTCGTTGCTTTATACTTGCTCCAATAATCGCGTATCCGGCGTGACTGGAACAATTACCGACAGCGGCCGATCGTAAGAGGGAAAAATCGAACGGTCGTTTTCTGCTCGGCCGTCAGTTTTGTTCGCGCGAAATTGGATTTGTCTGGAATGCAAATCGAGAAGTGGACCCGAACCGAGGAGAAAGAACTCGCTCGTATCCGATCGAAACGAATCGGACAGCGAGTGGAAAAATTTCTACGGAGAAAACGAGCTTCTATTAATTTTTTCTATCCGTTTCCTTCCATCTTCTTTGCCGCGTTTCGCTAAAATTGCAACCTATTTCACGGAAACCTTAATCCGTTCCGACCAAAGTCAAATCTCCCCGCGAACGTAATACGAATACAAAAGTCCTCGATAGAAGAAATTCTTCTTCCTCCAAGATTATCGCATTACTTTCAAAGTGGCACATTATGCGGTTCAGCATCTCGCTTCATTATCCGGAAGAGGAAGGGTCTGTTGGTCCACGATAAAATGGCAAATGAATGCGTCCGCGTTGTTCCGGCTCTCTGGATGGAATTTTTTCCTCCGGAAGCGGCACGTTTCGTGCTTAACACGCTAATCTTTGAATGTGGGTCGGTCTCGAAAGGGTAGATCCTCGAGCGTCGAGTGCATCGGGGAGAATGCAAAAGAAAACGCGATGCATCATCCACGGCCCCGTTGTCCCCTCGGATTTCCGTAATTACCTGAGGAAAGTCGTCGCGAATTATCGGGGTCGACGAGAGTTCAAGTCTTGCCCGGTTGCACGTTAAACCGTGTGTACATACTGCGGTATCGCGTGACCGTACGATGATCCATGTCCCTCATGGTTTAAATAATTCAGTGATCTTGATCTATAGGCTGAAAACGAGTGCCACTTTTCCACCACTGTCGTTTCGCTCCCTATCTAAACGTAAGTTGAACGATACTGTGAAAAGATGGGGAAAGTTGAACCGACGTCAGTCCACGTTTACATTTTCCAGTGGGTATAAAAGATAAGGATCATTTTTCAAATTAATGAAGGTGTTGATTACAATTCGGAGATTAACTGTTTAAATTTCATTTTGATCGATCTTTCCATGCCTAAAGCGATTAGTAGGTAAACCTAATACTTTGATACGTCGACGGTTACATAAATCGAATAAAGCAATCACTGGGAGCACTTGTAAACGCATCAATCATCATGAACGCTGGCTGTTACACCGCGCCATTTCTTCCTAGCGCGTCAATAAATGCACTAATTGTGTATTAATGATTAAATTAGCCATTTCAATGGTTAATTGGCCGAATGTTTGCATTAATCGTTTCGCGCGATGCTTACTAGACTGCGGTCGTTTATGCAAATACGTGAAAAATAATGCAGAGATAAATTATTCAAATCCAAAAGTCTTCGATACCGTTAAAAATTGTTCGCTTCAAATATCGAATAAGGTTATTCGTAATTTAGAGGTGGAATACCAAAAATTACACAAAATTTCGTAGTAATTAAAGTTCTCTGAAATTTCCACCAAATAGCGACTACTCATCACCTACCATCAATCTCGTCAGCTAATTTACCCGGCTATCAAAGGCAAACAAAAATGACCGTATCACGTGTTCCCGCGCTTTAAATAACACGATAGCCCTTTCGTGATTGCAACACGGCCGCGATAATTATCCAGAATTAACAACAATATCCTTAAAGCCGCCCATTAAGCACGGGATACGTTTCATTCGTGATCAGATTATGGTTTACAATAATTCTCAGACACGCCACGTGGATCGGAGGTCTCGGGAATCGTGCAACGGAACATTTAAATTTCTTTTTCCTCTGCAACATCAGCGGCAGCGGCAGCAACGCGTGTCCGAGATGCGAGCCAAGGGCCGAGAATCATAAATCACCGGTTGATTTCACCGTCTACGACGAGGACGCGGATGAATATACATAAAACGCGGCCGGTACGTGTTTCGCGCGATGATTTTATCGGCCCATGGAGCCCGGGGACATTAATTCCCATTGTAGAGCGTTATACGCGTCATAAAGCTACGACTGTGCGCCTTTCGGACGGTGAATCTATAACGAGAAGATCGTACTGTCGATAATCGTCTACGTGCCATTCGGTCTTTGAAACATCTCTGATTGTTTTCTCGATTGTTCGATCGAGTTCGTTCATTCCGCACGTGTAATCGCGGAAAGATTTCGAATCGAATTGTTGAGATAATGGAGACAGAATGCAAGGAAAATAGAGGCCAGGTTAATTTATTCTAAGATCACGTTAATTAGACACGGAGTTTCTGGTAACGAAATATTTCATTTAACGAAATAAATCATTTTTATGTTTTATCGATACTTTCCATTCAACGTTTCTGCGAATATTTCTTGTTCCAAAGTAGAAGAATAGATGAAACGTCAGGAACGACACAAAGAGCGAACGGTATTCCTTCTCGGTTCGAGTATTCGCGAGGAACCGAGCGGAATCGCTCGCATTTATTTCGCCAAAGACTCCGTAACACACTTCACGAAACAACCATTTGTCGTGCGGCGCAGCCCATGGACTCCGAGTATTACTTTTATTCGCCCGTTATTGATAAACGATAAAATCTAGTCGGAAGTGACCCGTCCATAAATCCCGCACCACTTCCGTTCGACGGACCGCTCGCGACGAATAAATCACCGATACTCATTTTTTTTTCTTCTTTTTTTATTTTTCAACCGGTGAAAACGTTTCACGTGGCAACTGTGTAATAATTCGAGCATCGAGGGAATTAAGGAGACGACTCGACGAAATTGTGATCGTCGGGGGTGATTTATGCGGCAGACATTCTGCTGCCGTGACATTTTTCCTGTGTATGCTTACCGAGATTTATCGGAGGATTATTTATCCTCTTTAGTGGTTATTAAAATTCCAATACGCTATACGTTAAAATTATATTGATTCCATTACGTCGAAGTATCTTCCCGATTTTCTGAAATGGTACAAGGTTCAATTTGAAAAAAAAAACGAAAATGAATTTCTGAAAATTTTCTATCAGCGATCTTAAAACCTCATTTTACCGAATGAATCCTTTCCCGGCAAAATAGCCACTCGAGACTCGGTGTACTCAGGGTACACAGAAAACGTCGGCGTGTCTATTTACAAGAAAAATCGGAGACGGTTTCGCGGACGGAAGGGGTACGGTTGGTAGTGCGGTATCCCATTGGCTGCACCCCCTTTTCTTCCGGTATCACGTCGCGACTCGCGTATCCCGCTGCAGAATGCCGGCGCGTTGAATTACTTATGGCGTTCCACATTCTCGAAGCCGTAAGTACATGGCCGCATTTCGAATGGAAATGTAACTACACGCATGCCCATCGTGCCTCGTCTCCTCCTTTTTCTTCGCCTTCTTCCTGTTCCGCTTGAACCAACCCCTCCAACCCGCGAGCTCGCGGCTCGATACTTTTTTCCTCCCATCCTCCTCTTCATCCTACGAGAATGCTCGCCTTTCATCTCGAACCGCAGAATGCAAATCGTATTTTGTCGTGAAACGTGTCGCGGATGTAGGCCCGTCGGAGGCGGATGCAGATATCGCGGGAAAGACCGGAAGGGTGGCTCTTCGGTCGAAGAAACCGCGTGTTCATATTTGGAGCCGTCAGAATTCATAAAATGCCTGGCGAAGGAGCTGACGGGGATTTTAATAAGGAACGAGCAGATTCGTACGGGGGTGTGTGTCGAAATTGTAGGAAAAAAAGTGGT